CCGGAATTGACTGTCGCCTCCCCCCCCCTCCCCCTGCCGTCCGAAACATGCAAGCTGCTTATCAGTCAATGAGTCAATCTGCCAAGTGTTTTACTGTCATCACGAAATCGTACCGCCGGCTTGGCCAGGTGCTATACAAACAGGCGCCTGTGAAGACCTGCCAACAGCCAAAACGGCTGTCCGATCGATACTTGTGGAAGCTGCACACCGCTCACTAATGGTGCCTGCACTCTAGACAAGGCCAAGCCGAATGTCTCACGGTTTACAACCGCCTGATCACCACGGCCTTGGCCCCTGATGCGACGGCGCACGCACCGGGCACAGCGCGACCACGACGTTCGGTCGCTGTCTCTCAGCAGGCCCTGAGAGCCGGCCCCCAAGCCAGCGGCTAGCAGCCCCTATCTGGCAGCCTGCCCAAGTCACTCTCGTGCAGCAGCCTCATGGCCTTCGGCGTCAGCCACCACGGCTCGCCACCAGAGCCCCGGCCAGCGCAGCTGACGCCGACTGGCTCCGCTGGCCAGCAGCCCACGCCGGGCCTCCCCTCGGCCGCCCCGTCCTCCTGGCCGCTGCCGCTGCCCCAGATGCTGTCGCTGCCGCCGCCAACCTCCCGCCGCTCCAGCCGCGCCTCACGCACAGAGTACAGCAGACGCCGTTGCCTGCCCCCAGCCCGCGCCTGCATGGGCCACCACGCTGGGGGCGCGCGCCTCAAACGCACGGCGGCGTCCTCTGCCCAGCGGCGCATGAAGCCGCAGAGGGCTGCGTGGCCGAGGAGGCGCGTGCAGTGGTGCCATAGGCTGCTGCTCGCGGCCGCGGTCCCCTTTGCTGCTTTTTGGAGGCAGTCTGTGCTGCAGTACCGCGCAACGCCGCAGCCAGGGCACACCACCAGCCCGCCGTCGCCCGGCCCCTGCGGCGGGCGGCCGCAGCAGTCACAGACTGGGGCCGGCGGCGGGAGGTCGCGGGGGTGGGTCCACAGTTGGATGTAGTGGCCGTGGCGCTGCAGCAGCTGGAAGTCTGAGGGCAGGAAGGCCTGGCTCGTGGCAAAGAGTGCCGCGTCCAGCCTGGAGCCCAGAGGTAGGTAGGGGGGTGCGTGCAGGCGGGTGTGTGAAAATGTGCTGGCGCGCGAAGGCCGGCGGTGTGTGTGGAGGGGGGGGGTGATGTTGGTGGGTGCAATAAGCCAGCGGCTAGCACTGGCGGCCAGCGACAGCGAATGCCAAACGCCTTGAAACTGCTGCTTCCCATGTCACCCTTGTTGCCACGGTGGCGTGTGTGCTGCATACTGCATTCACAGCTGCGGCCGCGGACCCGTCGCCGACGCCTGCCATGCGTGCATTCTGCCTTGGTCTATCCCAGTGCCGCACCCTCACGGCTGCAAAGCAGCACTCACCTCAGGTCCGGGTCATCGTACAGCCGCCTGACCGCCGCAGCCACCGCGGCCTCGCGCGCCGCCCCGCCGGCGCCCGGCTGCGCCAGCCGCCGCGCAAGCTCCGCTGCGACCGCCCCGCGGCGCGCCCGCGCGGGCCCCCCGCCGCCCTGGCCGCACGCACCCAACATGCGCATGTGGAACCAGACCGCCCACATCGGCGGCGCGCCCTCGCCCTCGTCGGCCGCTCTTGCGGCACATGTGCTGCGGCTGGCGCCAGGCACTGCACCTGGCAGGTGCGCCCAGCCCTCGGGGCCCACGCACTGCAGCAGTGCGAGGGACATGGCCTGGCGCGCCATGGCGGGCCACAACACGACGGTCTCGGGGGCGGGGGTGAGGGCAAACTCCTGGGGGCCGAGGGCCTCGATGATACGGCAGGCCAGCGCGACTCGGCTTGGGGAGTAGGCCTGCGCAGGGCGCGTGTGGGTTGCACGTGGACGTTTGAGTATGCTGCCCGGTCCGTTGCCTTTGGCGGCGGTGGGGCGCGGCCGGGCCGCATGTTGGGCGGGGGTGTGCGTTTGCCCCAACCGCGTGTTGGGCCACGCCGGCCAAGGAGCTGCGACTGAGTGTGGGCGCCGCCAGCAACAATCGGGCCGGCCTGCCCCCGTCGGCAGAGCGGGCTGCAGGATCAGCAATACAGCTGGGCAAGCCACTTTGCCGCATGAAGGGCCTCTTGCATGGCATGGCCAGCGCACTCAGAGAGGCCCTCGGTCCCCGCGCCCGGTCGCCCCACGCGTGCCGGCCCGCCCCACCTGCTCAAATGTGGCGTCGAGCGCACGGGCATACGCAGCCTCCGCCTCCTCGCGCGCCGCGGCCCCGACCTCCACTCCCGCCGCCGCCGCCAGCGCCAACCCGCGCCCGCCGGGCCCCCAGGAGATGGCCCAGATGAGTGAGTTGGACACGCACGACCAAAGGGGCGTGCTGCTGCTGTGCGGGCACATGCCGGCGCCACGGGCAAGCCGCTCGCGGACGCGGGGCGCCAGTCGGCCCAGAAGGCCCCACAGCAGGCGGCGCAGCACGAACGGCGAATCAAACGGCACAGGGAAGCCGGCGCCAAAGGCGCTGGTGTGGCGCTCGCCTTGCTGCAGGGGCTGCTGCCCGGCTGCTTCCTCATCCTCCGCCTCTGCAGCGCACCACGGGCAGCCTTTTGCACACCCCACCACGGCCTCAACCTTTTCGCCGCCGCTGCCCCCGTGTTGGCTGCCGCGTTTGCTGCTGCCCCCACCGCCAGCCTGCCCACTGCTGCATCCACCGCGGGCGCGGTCGCCAGTGCCCCTGGGGACGCCGACCGGCTGCGCGGGCGGAGGCGGCCGCGTTGTCAGCGCCGGCCGCAGGCGGGGCCGCGGCGGCAGCCTGTCCCCCGAGTGGGTGCAAACATAAGCCGCGAGCTCCTGCAGGCGCGCGTCCTTTAGCAGGTCGTCCAGAAAACCCCTCTCAATCAGTTGCGCCGCGAAGCTCTTGCGCATCAGCGCGGCGCCCCACGCTGGAGGGTCGCTCGCGCGCGCGGCTGCCTCCCGGTCAAGGGCGGCCAGTTGGTGCAGAATCTGCTCCTGCGCCAGCGCCGCCACGGGCTCGAGGCGCTCGCACACCAACGGCCGCAGCAGCCCGCGAACCAGGCCCTGCAGCGACTCGCCGGCCTCGCCGGCAGCGGCGTCCGTCGCGTTGCTGTCGGTGCACACCGCCGCGGCGGCATCGGCGGCCGCGGCGGCGCCGCTACTGCCGCCATCAGCCGGGCGGGCCAGCCGCTCCGCGCGGCGTGCGGCGTCGTACGCCCGGAACTCGGCCCTGGACTCGCCAACCACCTGCCGCAGGAAGCTGCAGGCCGCGTCGAGCTCCGGCCCGCCAAGCACATGAGCCGCGTCAGCAGCGGCGCCCGGCGTCAGCGCCACGCCGTCGGCGGGACCCAGCATGTGGCAGCGCAGGAGCGCCAGCTGGGCCGACGCCGCAGCGCGCGCTTTCGCGAGCCAGGTCCCCGAAAGGCGCGAGAGCCGCGGTGCGAGAGGGTCCGGGACGACAGCGTCCGGCTCTGACCCAAGCACGTGGTGTGCCAGTGCCGCCAGGCCGAGGGCCACCTCAGCAGCGGAGCCTGCCGCGCCCTCGCAGCCGCCCGCGCGGCTCCCCGGAGCCGTTGCATGGGTTGCTGCTGGCGTACGCGGGCAGCCGGCGCCGCCGCCGACCCTCATACCGTCAGGCGGGTGCAATCGGGGTGGCAGCAGCGACTGCGCGGCCAAGGCGAGCGCCGCGGGCGCGGCGGGGCCGGCGGCGGTACAGAAGGCACTGTGCAGCTGCGACAACTGCAGGGCCTGCGTGGGCAGCAGGGTTGATTGAATGTGCAATTCGTGTCAAAAGGAGTCAGTCGGTGTGCAAATTGTTTCAGACTGTCACTGCACAAGGACAATGGTTGTTCTTGTCGTGCCGTCAATTGTTGTGTGCAGTTCTGCAGAAGGCCCACAACCTGTGTTCATGTGGTTTCAACTTCACGTGTCCCTGGATGCCGAGTTTGCCTGGCCTTTCCAGTGGGACGCCCGCCCACCTTGGCATTGAGCAGCTCGCCCAACCTGTAATACTCCTGTGCCCCCTTGTCCCGGCAGTCACCAGCCCTGTCGGCCCCTCCGTTGCACTCCCTGCTGCCGTCATCGCCGATCGGCCACCACCCTGATGGGCTGCCCCTGCAGCAGGTCGATGGCGCCGCCGTGGTGGCCAGCTCAGGCCTCGCCGCCAAGGCTTGGATTGCAGCATCCGTCAGGGCCTCTACATGGCCAGCCACTGCCAGAAGAGCAGCCGCATGAGCGGCCACATGGGGACCCTCCGGGCGATCTCCGGCGCGCGCCACCAGCAGCGGCTCCAGCGCCAAGGCGCGCGCGTGCGCGGCAGTCAGCAGGAGCTGCTCCACACGGTCGCGCGCGGCTGCGGTCACGGGGCTGCTGAGGCCGTCGTCGCAGCCGCCAAAAGCACGCAGCAAGCGGCTGGCCTGCTCACGCAGCGAGTGCTGCAGCGGGGCGCCCTCCTCCGCATCGCTGCCGTTGCTGCTGCTGCTGCTGCCTGCAGTTGCCCCTAGGTGCGGGCACAACGCAAGAGCGAGTCCCCAGGGTGAGGACGGCGCAATGTGGCTGGCGAATTTTGCGCAGAGAAACAGCTCTCGAGCCACCTCGCCGGGCCGCGGCGCGAGCAGCAGCTTGCACGCGTGGGTGAGCGCGGGCGGGGCGCCGGCCAAGCCGCCGGCACGGTCTGCGCGCTGGATGAGCAAAGGGAATGCGCTGCGGGCGTCGCACTCGACCGCCACCTCGGCCGCAGCCCACATCAGTACCGCCTGCGTGGGCGATCAGCACGGGACGGTCGGCGGCGGGGTCACCCCAGCGAAGACGAGTAACGGCGGCTGGCTGGTAATTGCATGGCGCTGCGTGCTACACAGCTGCAAAGGGCCAACATCACAACCCTCGCGCTGGCGACCTGCTGCGTGAACAACAAAGCAGCAGTCTGAAGGGGGCACAATCAACATGTGAGTGCATGTCTCAGCCGACCGCTCACCCTCGGCCATGCGCGCTGCGTCACGCACCTGCAGGGCGGCCGCGTGCTCCGGCGTGTCGGGCGGCAGCGGCTGCCTGCATGCGCACGTGAGCATGTGCGTGGGTGCCTGAGTACGTGCCCATGCATGCATGCGTGTGCCCATTGTCGACACCATGCATGCAAGCTCAGAAGGTGAAGCGGGTGCCGTGCAGACAGTGGGGCTCGGCTAGCCCCCAGCCAAGTCATCATGTTGGGCGCGCGTGGCGGCATCGCATGCTCAGCAACTAGGCAGCGCCTGTACGGCTTGTGAGAGCAATGATACGTTTGACACCATCCTCTCGCGCTGTTCACCCGGGGCACATCAGGCCGACCGCCAAGTCAGCCAGAAGGCACGTAGCCAGGTGCGGCGAGACCCTCCCAAGCAGGCCGGCGACACGGCCGGGGTCGCGGCTGCGGCATCCTGCAGGCGGCGCCCCGGCGCTGCCGCGGCCCTGCGTGCCGGCACCCACGTCCCGCGGGGGACACGCGGCCAGGGTGTCCAGGAGCGGCCGCAGCGCCAAAGACACCAGCTGCTGCAATTCAGGCAGCGCGGCGCCGCCACCTGGCCGCAGCACCACAAAGCCTCTCTGCTCGCCGGGCTGGCGCTCTGGTTTGCCGCCTTTTGGCCCCAGCAGCAGATCGTTGAGGACTGCCTGGGTCGCGGCAGCGAGCGCCTCGTGGTCGGCATTAGAGCTGCAGTCGAGCCTTTCCCATGTGGCCTTGGCTATTGTCAGGGTGGGGCGTTGAGGACCAGCAGGTCGCAGCAGCGACCCGCGCCACAACAGCGTTGCGGCAACAGCGTGACCTGGCAATACGATGCTGCTTAGACGTTGAAGACCTTTGGGGGGCCCTGGGCGTGAACGAGGCTGGTAGCGCCCTGTGCCATCAAAGCGCTAGTTCGCGCTGCGCCATCAAAGCGCGCTTGATCTCGGAATCGTGCAACGTATGTGGGATTGTTCTCATGTTACCCAAACAGAATGATCAAGCGCTCGGGATTGCCATTAGTATGGATATTCACAGCTGAAGTGCACAGCATGCAGAACGCAGGCCATTGAGCTGCCCAAGGCTACCAAGGTGCTGGCCAGCATCAATGTGAATGTACAGTAGAGTAGAGTGGAATAGACCGGGAGCTACGCAACCAATATGCATCAAGAACGGGTGCAAGGGTCAGGGCAACCGTCCGTCCCTTCAATCCCCCACTGGTCGAATGTACATGTCTTGGGACACCTATGACTGGCTTGACCTCGCGCCTGCACGTCTATATGCCCCTGGGGGTCGCGGAGGTGGGGGT